ATTGCAGGACTTCCATGGTCTCGCTGACATTGTTGAGCTTTTGGGAGTCTGCTTGAGTTTCTTTCAGAGCGTCTTTTAGGGTTTGGCTGTAAGCCATGATCGTCGACTGAGTGGTCCTTTCTATGGTGTTAGAAATTTCCCTGGTTTCTTTTTGTTTGGTTATTTCGGTCAGTTTCTTCTCTGTTTCTTGAAGTACCTGTTTCCTGACCAGGCAGGTGGCAGAGAAGGTCCTGTGGTCACCCTCGCAGACGACACACTTTTTGATGGTGCTACGGCAGTCTTTGTAGAAGTGCTGATCAGATGAACACTCAGAGCATATGACCCCTTGCAGGGTGCAGTTCTTGGTCATGTGGTCATTGTATTTATAGCATTTCATACATTGTTGGATGGGCGTATACTTTTCATATTCTATTTGGTGGGATGAGATGGAAGTGCCATATGCATAGAGCCCCTTCTCCTTCATTCTTTTTGCATCCGTTGTGTCTGCAAAGCAAACCTTGATTATATTATGGGCATACATAGGATACACCTCCACAACCTTGACATTGTTTTGCTTTTCTATTTCATCTCTTATTTCTTCTGCGTTATTTTCCACTACATCTTTGTCTAACTTCTTACATACAAGGGTGAGCTTGGCGCCGTATTCCCGTGGGACAATGACCTCATGACCGTTGGTTTTCATTTTGTCCATGGCACCAGACTTAAGTAGTTTATCAGCATCTTCATCTGTTTCCGTGAGGATGATGTAACCATTAGGGTGTGTCATACGGAGGCGAAGTTTTTTTTTAGTTTGAAAAATCGGCCCATGGTATTAATGATGTAGTTCTATGTGCAGAATCATGTGATATCTTCAGATTTGAAAAGTTTTCATTTTTTGCTAGGTAAATTTTAAACTTGAAATCTTATGAAAATTCAGTATTCCCACCCTTTTACCAACACCACTAAATAGCTTATTTAAAGTAAAGTAAATGTATCAGGTTAATTTATTAGGATGAAAATGATCCAGAATAGTGAAACGAATGATCTTGACACATTTATTAAATTTAATATTCCTTTAGAAAACAAAATCATCAAATACAAAACCGGTTTTACTACTACGACCCGGTGTTGCTGCACACCATAGAGAACATGTCTTTCTTGCTTCTGTTTCTACTCATCACCTCCCTGCTGACCACCTGAGCTCGGATGTAGCCTTCCCTCCTCTCCTGGCTGTACACGTGACTGCTGGCCTCGCTCACTTGCTGTACACAACGCTCTATACTCTGGGTGTGCGAGGGCCAGGCAGGGACATGCATGGGTTGTCCAGGAAAGCTCTGACTTGAACATTGGTGAGGGCTGCAGGTAGAGGGGCTCACTGCCAGCCTGGATGTTATCCAGATCTATGAGATCAGTGAGGGTCTTGGCACCTAGATTGACTTCAGGAGTCTTCCTGACCCTGAAGGAATCGTCACCAACTGATTCGTCATGCCCAGATCCTCTCATAAGTCTCATATCCAAGATCTTTTTGACTGCCACTCTTCTCTCCTCCTCATCCTTACTGCAGAGCATTGTCTGCAGAACTGCCTCAGGATGAGCATACCAGGAAGATCTCCTCACAGTCTGCTCCACAATCTGAACAACCTTCCTTGGCTGACTCCTCAGGAGCTCAAGCTGGAAGAGAACATGCCTCGGACCTTCGGAGAACGATGACTTGACCTTGGTGTTGAACCAATTTGGCAAGTAGACACTCACGATGAATTGGACAATAAGTCTCAGGTTGTGAAGCTGGTTCCCTTTCAGTTTATGATGAGCGACCCAAATTCTGCAGAACCTGAGAGCCGTTGTGAGCCACCTAGAATGTGAGACTGGACCTATCTGCAGGTAAGCAAGTCTATCAGGCATGACCCCAGTTTTGATGGCACTGCAAATCATGTAACCATAGTACTGGTCAGTACTCAGGTCGTCAATGACAGTATGTGCAAGCTCAACGAGTGGAGGGCCAACTGTGATTTTTTCAAAGCTCGGATTTATTTCTAACTCAGTGGCAGAGTCCAGCATCTTGCCAAGAGGACCAGACCATCTGTTGTTTGAAAGAGTCTTGCCATCCAGCTCCTGGATCAGATGTCTGAGTGGCAACTCGTTGGTGTGGAGGTCACAAACAATCCAGACCAGCTTCCTCCCAATCTTCCGCTCTATCCACTGTATGACCCCCCTTGCCACCCTGTGTTCGTGTTGGTGCTGTCCTCCAATGGCCTGCAGGGTCTGGTCTACGTTCCTCTCTCTGAGCCAGTTCACAATGTTATCTGCCACTATCTCAGCTGGTTTCCTGATGTCATCTTTCTCTGGAGTGAAATGCCACAAATACTTCCCTCCTGGTTCACTGCAGCAGGAGTAGTGTTCCTCCTTCACCATGGCAGGGAAAAACTTGTCAGAATCTCCAACTTTCATGAACACTTTAGTGTCATCCCTTCTCCCATCAAAGAACAAACAATTGATTCCATTTTCTCTTATCCCCTTATCAAACTCCTCTTCTAGGTTACTGACAAGTTTTTCCTGAGCTCTCCTTACTTTGTTATGATCTATCACCAGGTGAACATCATCAGGTGTTATCAAACCACCGTCAATCCAGGCAGCTGTTGCTATCTCTGCAGTTTCTGAGACCAGTGTGGTGTCGCATGCTGGCCAGAGCTATGCTCGGGATATCTTTCCTATTTCGAATCTTATGCCTGGAAGGTTTGGGATCATTATTTTCTGGGTTTGGGACAAAGTCACCATTCTCCTGGTCAGCACTCGATCAGCCATGGGGAAGCCATTAAACTCTGAATCAGCTTGACTCAATCATCGGCCTTTTTACCTCACCCTGGGCCTTCTCAAGTCTCTTTTCCTCGGCAACTCTTCTTCCCTTCTGTCTCTGCAGGCAGCCTCCCCTGTCTCTCTGGACTCAAAATATCTTGGCTAGAAATCATGAGAGCCCCTATACTGCCAGTCTTCTCTCTCTGTGCTTTGACAAATGCCAGTTCGATCACAGGAATCTTCAGTTCACGCTTGCAAATACAGGAGATGTGGGCCTCGGATTTACAGTCACGATCGCATCCAAACTCAGGACAGAGAACAATTGGGCACTTGCAAGTAATTATGTCAAATAACTGGTCCAGTTGCTTGGCAAAGCTGTCCTTAACTGCAAGTTTTCCTCTCCCAAGAGAGATATCTCTTGCCTTTTCCCAACTGGCTAGCAGTCTTCACTAATCTTCTTCTGACTTGTTATGACTGGAGGCTTGAACTGAGCGCTAGCCAGAGTGTACTGTGCCAAGACAGCTTTGGTCATATCACTGGCAATGTCTTTGTTTGTGTAAGTTCTTTGGTTCTTTTTCACTGATTTGCCTGATTAAAACACCGTATCTCAAAGCATCTCTCAATGTAGGCAACCTGACTTCAGGAGCCTCTCCCAGACCCAAGATAGTGACTGAGATGGCTGGATTTTTGGTTCCTCGTCCTGACACAAGCAGCCATCGCAAATATTATCAACTTATAAATGCATCAGAATCTGAAACAAAAAATATTGTTAGTTGGGTTGTTAAAGAATGAAGTCAGAAAGCAATGTTCACTATTTAATTGTAATGCACTAATGCAGCTGTAAGATTTTCGATAAATTTCACGCTAAAATTTACCTAGCAAAAGGTTGCAAAATATTGAAACTGAAATTATTTTCTGTTTATATACACTAAAATCTACCAAAAAAGTGATGGGCCATTAGTTTTAGCTGATCTTCCCTCCTATGACACACCCTAGTAACCATCTCTCAGATCCACAAGTCTATTTATCATCACCCTTAGGTCACTCAATAGCCTTTTTAGCCCTATCCGAGACCCCTGGGTCGGGGTTCCGGAGATCTTCACTCTCACTTTGGCCATGGTCAGTAACATACATGAATGAATGAATGAAAATTCTACCTAATCTGTCCACCTCAACTAAACCCCATGGATGCCGCTCCACTTGCTGGGCGAGTAAAGACGGGTCTGGGGGTAGGGTGAACAGACAATCCCATGGCGGGGGCCTAGCCAAGCCCTAACACCTAGCAGTGACAGGTTATGAAGCACTGTCGAATCCCTAACAGAAAATGTTGCCACCCTTACTGTCTCGACTCAGCAGCCCTCTGAGGGCCCCCTTTGAGGCTCTGCCCGCAGGGTTCGCGTCGTTACCAAACAGCAGGGACTCTAGGCGAAGGGATAGGATAGGGAAGAAGCGCAGTGTACAAGAATAATGATATCCATGTACAATGTACAACTACATGATAAAGCAGATCCTAGTGGTCCAGTAGGTAGCGTTCCCCGGTCACAGTCATGGGCTCGTGGGCCGTGGGTTCGAATTCTGGCGGGTTGAGGTGTTGATTGTAATTATATATTTATGGCGCCGTGAAAGAGGTTCACGGCGCCAAAAGCTCGTTGAACAGGCTTTGTGTGAAATATAACAGAGTCTAGGACTGCCTTTAGTATCCTAGTGGTCCAGTAGGTAGCGTTTCCCGGTCACAGTCGTGGGCCGTGAGTTCGAATCCTGGCGGGTTGAGGTGTTGATTGTATATATATTTATATATTAGAGGTTAAGGAGTAGTCAGATGAGATGCCCGTGATAGCCACCAATACACATATGTATTATACTCAAGTCCAGTTTGTACATAATTTTTCATAAAAAAACTTGACGTTCCTTCGTTTATTCAAATATTTGTAGGTAAAATTTAATGTTGCCGTAGAATTATAAGATAAAAAATACAGCAATTTTGTTAATTGACTATTTAAGGTGTAACAACGAAAGAGAGGAGGCTCTAATTAAGATGGAGATAAAATACGGAAAGTATTTTCAAGATTAGCAAGTGCTTCTGCTCTTAAAATATGTTATAAAAAATATTAACAGGGCATATTGATGGAGACATCGAACTCTAATTACACACATATCGCGGATAAAGCTTGCAGCAGCTGCTCGTATTATAATCTTATACTGTATTAACACGGATTGTGTCTTAACAGGATATGGTCCATGACAGAGAGCGGCCTCTACAACAAGTGGTTTGATCTGGTCGTCCCAAACTCTACTGCCTGTACTTACCCTCCCACGAAGATCACCCAAAGTGCCTCCTTCTCTCTCGCTCACTTCTCGGTAAGGATATTAAGGAATTAAAGAATCGGGACTCACCTATGCATGAAAGCCCATATACCAACACACACCAATATATAATATATATAATACCAGAGCGCCACAGAGACAACAAAAGCAATGAACATAAGAACATAAGAATGGAGGAAACTGCAGCGGGCCTATTGGCCCATACTGGGCAGTCCCGTTTACACCCAACCCCTATTGCTCATATGAGCATCCAACCTATGTTTGAAGCAATTCAGCGTATTCGAGTTAATGATGATATTTGGTAACTTGTTCCATTCATCCACTACTCTGTTTCCAAACCAGTGTTTACCTATTTCACGCCTAAATCTAAATTTGTCTAATTTATAACCATTGTTACGAGTTCGCTCCTGGTTGGATAGTTTGAGTACCTTTGTAATGTCCCCTTTGTTTAGCCCTGCCTTCCACTTATACACCTCTATCAGGTCGCCCCTCGCTCTACGTCTCTCAAGGGAGTGCAAATTAAGATGCTATATCCTGTCTCTATACTCAAGGTTCCTAATGCCCGGGATTAGTCTTGTCATTCTCCTCTGAATTCTTTCCAAGGATTCTATATCCATTCTGTAATACGGTGACCAGAACTGAACTGCATAATCCAGGTGTGGTCTCACAAGAGCAAGATACAGTTTTAGGATGACCTCGCTAGTCTTGTAACTAACACTCCTATGTATGAACCCAAGTACTTTATTAGCTTTGTTCCGAGCAAAAACACATTGTTTACTTGGCTTAAGGTTCCTCCTTATCATTACTCCTAAATCTCTCTCGCAGTCGGATTTCTCTATGGCATCGTTGTTCATCTGGTATCTGGTTTCCCTGTTTACATCTCCTATACTGAGTACTTTACATTTGTCGACGTTGAATTTCATCTGCCAGTTTTCAGACCATTCGAAAAATTTGTTTAGATCTTCCTGTAGTTTTGCCGAGTCCTCGTCAGATTTGATAACACGTCCTATTTTAGTGTCATCAGCAAATTTACTTATGTTGCTGTCAATGCCGATATTTATGTCGTTTATGTATATAATAAATAATAATGGTCCAAGTACTGAGCCTTGGGGAACTCCACTTGTGACGTTGCTCCAATGGGACTTAGTGCCGTTAATGCTCACTCGCTGTTTCCTGTCCTGTAACCACGCCCTAATCCATTTAAGGATGTCACCTTTGATGCCATGAGCTTCTACCTTTCTAATTAGTCTTTCGTGGGGGACTCTGTCGAAGGCTTTGCTAAAGTCGAGATATACCACATCATAATTGTGCCCCTCGTCCACCGATTCGAAAACTGATGAAAAGAATGTTAATAGATTAGTTAGGCAAGAACGTCCGCTTGTGAAGCCATGCTGGGAATCATTGATCAATCCGTGCTTCTCCAGGTGATTTCGAATAGAGTTTGAAATGATTGCTTCCAGTAATTTGCCTACTATTGATGTTAGACTGATTGGGCGGTAGTTAGAGGATAGTGATCTATCCCCCTTCTTGAAAATCGGTATTACATTCGCTATCCTCCAGGATTCTGGTACTACACCTGTTTTTAATGACATGTTAAACAACTTTGCTAAGGGCATACTAAGCTCTTCCTTACATTCCTTTAATACTCTGGCAAATATCTCATTAGGACCAGGTGACTTATTAGGCTTTAGTTTGTCTATTTGCTTACTAACATCGTTACTAGTCACTACTATCATCTTTAATTTGTTTTCTTCACTATCTCTGAATAGAGTCGGTGCCTCGGGTATCATGTTTAAATTTTCGGTGGTGAAAACTGTTGAAAAATATTTATTCAAATTATTGCTAATTTCTCCGTCGTTATCAGTGAGCTCGCCGAAGTCTGACCGTATTGGTCCAATCTTTTCCCGTGTTTTAGTTTGATACATTTGGTAGAATCCTTTGGGGTTTGTCTTCGCCTCCCTTGCTATCCTTACCTCATTATTCCTCTTTGCTTTCCTTATCTCGGTTTTAACCCTACTCGCCAATACCCTATAATAGTCCCGGAGGTGAATTTCGCCACGATTTATCCTTCTACCTATAGCCTTCTTTTGGCCAATGATGTTCTTTAAATAATTATTTATCCATTTAGGGTCATTGTTGTCTGATCTGAGTTTTTTGTATGGTATGTTCTGCCTTTGTGCATTAAGTAACTCACTATTTAAATTGTCGTGGAACTCGGCAATCTCAGATCTCGTTATCAGGTTGGTGTCATCTGTCAGGTTCACAGCCAAGCGTGACACCCCCTCTCTCAGCTGCCTCTTTAAACTGTCAAAGTTTGCCCTTCTGAAATCTGGTACTTTAGTGGAATTTTCCTTACGTCTGCCCTGAAAATCTAACTGGAATCGAATTTCTTTGTGATCGCTGTTTGCAAGTTCATTCCCTACCTCGACATTGCTAATTAAGTTTTCTCTGTTCGACAGAACTAAGTCCAGTATGTTATTACCCCGTGTGGGTTCGGTTATATGTTGACTTAGGAAACAGTCCTGGATCGTCTCGAGAAAATCCTGTGATTCTGAGTTACCCGTAAGGTCAGTCCAATCTATTTGGCCAAGGTTAAAGTCGCCTACTATACAGACTTTGTTGTGTATGGAAGCCCTGCGAATTTCATCCCAGATAAGTCGCTTATTGACGCTATCAAGATTGGGGGGTCTATATATTACTCCTGTGATTAATTTTTCCCGACCGTCGCTTAATTCTATCCAAATTGTTTCTGTATTCCTCTCAGTTTTTATTTCCTTATTTATTTCACACTTCAGATTATCCCTAACATAGATTGCTGGTCTGCCTATCGGTATGGAACAGTTTGTAACCCGCAATTTGGTATTCGACTGGTAACTCACGTGTGTCTAGGTTGATCCATGTTTCAGTGAATGCAATTATATAGATTTTTTCGGTACATACCAAGGCCCTAATATCATCCATTTTGTTTCTCACACTTCTACTGTTCGTGTAGTATACATTTAAGTTAGTCGTGTTCCGAGTCCTCCCCTTACCGCGTTTAGTTTTAAATTTCCTGTCTAATTTAGTTTTGTCATCATTCCTAACACTATTTCCCTGTAGTCTTTCACTTTGTTTACCCGCTCCCACTGCAGTCTCCTCCACCCCCGTGCCCATATGTTCCCTTAGCAGTTTAAAGACTTCGATATCTTTTGAACTGCCCCTACTGTTTGTATAATATACATTTAAACCTACTCTTCCCTGGTCCTGTTTTACCCATTGTCCTGAGCAACTAATTTTACTTCCCAGGACCTGCTTGTTTTTTGACTCCCACTTTCCTCGACCCCTCTCTACTGGCGAAACCCCCCACCCCCTTCGGAGTGACAATTTCACGCTCCAGGGATGCAGCCAATGTCTTTACCCCCTCACGAGACAAGTGTACTCAGTCGCGACAGTACAGGTAGTCGTTGCCATAGAATCGTTGCCAGTTATCAATGAATGCCCAACCATTGTTTGCACAATGCTAAGCTTTGTTTTATTTTACACGAAACCTGTTCATTCGTTTCATTTTCAAGCAACATGAACCTCCATCAGGGATTGCTCGTGCCAACTGTATACAGTAGTCGTAATAGCATTTTACCGAGTCCAACTAGGAAACACGAGGGCACATATATATATCAACAGTCCATATACACGCGGACTTGCATATATACAAACAATACCTCATTAGTCGGGAATTGAACAGTGAACCTCTGCGTGTGATAAGGATTGCTACCACCGCGCCTCAAACCTTGTAGTAATTAATGTGTATGTATATATATATACATATATATATATATATATATATATATATATATATATATATATATATATATATATATATATATATATATATATATATATATATATACATATATATGCAAGTAAATCACTGTAGGTGCGCGTGATCCAGGTATATGCTGATAACCACAAGGAAAGAAAAAACACGAAGTTCCTAAGCGCTTTCGTGTCTGTACTCATCCCTGAAGATGTGAATTACACGAAAGCGCTTGGGAACTTCGTGTTTTTTTCTTTCCTTGTGGTTATCAGCATATATATATATATATATATATATATATATATATATATATATATATATATATATATATATATATATATATATATATATATATATATATATATATATATATATATATATATATATATATATATATATATATATATATATATATATATATATGAGCACGTTATCCTGACATCTTTCTTATGTAAGAGCGTTACGGCCTCACAGGAATATCTCAACACTGAGGTTAACATTGCTCGGTATTATCTGAAATGACTTTTGTAGTAAATCATGATTCGATAATAAGTTCACTTTAGTTGCACGGTCTCCTTATTTCTTGTAACTAAAACCCGATAATGCGACTTTCCTGTGTTCGTCAGGGGTTGTTCGTGGTGCTGGCTGTTGGTCACTCCCTCAGTTTGCTGGTGATCTGCCTCGAGCTGCTCCTTCATCACGTTCTGGCCTCTGATATCCACCGTTCTCCTGGTCAGCTCGCCAGCGCCTTTACCAATTATGACGTTGAAAATTAAATTTGGTAAGGTTTCATAAATAAACTGTTAGGAATGGTCAGTAATCCAATACTTTGTTCATGGACATAAGAGATAATAATCATTGTATTGTCTGGGTTAATGCCCCCCTCAATCTTACCTTGTAATTCAAATTATCAGAAGAATAATTATAGAATCTGTTAACATGAATATGACTAAATACAAACAAATTGGTTAGTTTTGTCATCACGAAGAATTGTAACGAGGAAAAAGGTATGGACAACTACTTAGTGACCTTGTTATTTACAGCTCCTCAGTCTCAACTCACCCATTGATAAATGAATTACATGAAAGCACTTGGGAACTTCATGCTTTCTGTTTTATGTGGTTTTCAGCATGTGTGTGTGTGTGTGTGTGTTGATTTCTAAGTGGAAGATTCTGGTTCGAGCGGTCCCCAGGGATCTCATTTTCTCTCTGGTCCACTTAAGTGGTCGTCTTCCCTCTGGATTACAGTTTTTACCTTGTATCAGGGAGTAAGTATAGTCTGGTGACTATAAATATTAGAGTATATTCCTGAACGGTTACAGAGACTGCCGACCTGAAGGATTCTCCAGTAGTGCTTGGATAGATCTGTGTTAACTGAGCCACAGCTGCTTACTGACTGTCTGACTCTGACTGACTAATTCACGGCACATGCTCGTGGGTGGAAAGCTATGATTCATTCTAGCTCAACATGACATGACGTCCCAAGTGTTTCGAGTTTACTTACAGAAGTGTGAATGGTGATGCTCGCTCATCTGTAAGGAGCAGATTTCCAGACAGGAATCTATCCATGTTTAAAAACCCTGGTTTATTAGTAGAGCGCTTGGCGACTTGGAGTCAGCATACGTCCTACGGAATATCAGAAATCCTATAAAACTAGAAGTTAAATTAAGATAGCCACCTACTCGGGGCGTTTCACAAAATGGACTATTGACCTGTGATGACTACTTACAAATGCTCGGCCACCTCAGTAAACTTGTCCTCAGATTTTATATTTTGCAAGAACTTTAAGTACCAAAGTTAAAAAAAAAATACCCACAAACAGTATAGAATTCAAAAGTCTGCATTCATTATTAATGGCGTTCGTTGATAGTGTCCCCAGTAAATTACCACCATCTATGGTAATTAGGCAGCACGATGTATCAGTGTAGGGAGTACCATGGGTGCTAGTCTTCGCCAGTAGAGAGGGGTCGGGGAAAGTGGGAGTCAAAAAACAAGCAGGTCCTGGGAAGTAAAATTAGTTGCTCAGGACAAGGGGTAAAACAGGGCCAGGGAAGAGTAGGTTTAAATGTATACTATACAAACAGTAGGAGCGTTAGAAATAAAATAGACTTGCTGAGAGCGGTTGTATGTACCGAGAATGTAGACGTCATAGCAATCACCGAAACTTGGATGAATCTGGCGAGCAAAATTTTTTTATCAGAGTACCACATAGAAGGGTACAACCTTTTTCACAAGGACAGGGAAGGTAGGAAGGGGGGAGGGGTCGCACTCTTCGTCAAGAATATATTAAAATGTTGTACTAATAATTCAATAAAGGGTGAAATAGGAACCGAGTCTGTGTGGGTAGAAATCACGGAAGGAAGAGAAAAACTAATTATGGGAGTGATTTACAGGCCCCCAAGTCTTGGCAAAGAAGCAGCTCAGCCCTTATGGCAGGAAATGAGTAGGGCAGCAAAATATAACAACCTATGCATTATGGGGGATTTCAACTTCAGAAATATTGACTGGGACAACATTGTAGGCGACTATGAATCTGAAGACTTCCTAGACTCAGTACAGGACAATTTTTTGAAACAACTTATTATAGAACCTGCTAGAGGTGACAATATATTAGACCTAGTATTAAGAACATAAGAACATAAGAACATAAGAACATAAGAAAGTGGGATACTGCAGGAGGCCGACTGGCCCATACAGGGCAGATCCCTTTCACACCCATCCCAGCACTTCCATGTGCCTATCCAACTTCGTCTTGAAGCTCCCAAGCGTCCCCGATCCTACTATAGCACTCGGTAGCCTATTCCACATATCCACAACTCTATTACCAAACCAGTGCTTGCCTATATCCTTTCTGAATCGGAATTTATCTAATTTAAAGTCATTTGTTCTAGTTATTTCGTTATTACTGAGCTTCAGAACATCTTCCATTTTACCCTTGTTAATCCCACTTACCCACTTGTACACCTCTATCATATCTCCCCTAACTCTACGCCACTCTAATGAATGTAAGCCTAAGCTTTTCAGTCTTTCTTCATATGGAAGGTTTCTAATATTATGGATCATTTTTGTCATTCTTCTTTATACTCTCTCCAAAGAATCTATGTCCATTCTATAATAAGGACACCAGAACTGAACCGCATAATCCATGTGTGGCCTCACTATTGCTAGGTAAAGTTTCAAGATAACGTCAGCAGTTCTGTTACTCACAGACCTAGATATGAACCCAAGAATCCTGTTTGCCTTGTTGCGAACGCTAATACATTGTTTTCTAGGTTTCAAGTCGTTGCTAACAAATACACCTAGATCTTTTTCACAAACTGAGTTTTCTATTTCCGGTTACCTAGTTTATACTTAACGTTTGTATTCGTCCTCCCTATCTGTAGTACCTTGCATTTATCAGTATTAAAATTCATTTGCCAGTCTACTGACCACTCATGTAAGGAAACTAGATCTCTTTGAAGGTGTTCAAAGTCACTTTTTACTTTTATCCTCTTCGCCACTGATCGGCTTGTTAGCCGCTTGGGCGATCGGTCACGTCTCTTTTCCTTTATATTCTTCACCAAAAGGTCGGCTCGCTAGCCGCCCGGGCGATCGGTCACGTCTCTGTCACGCACTGTTGGCAAATACTGGGCATGCACCGGCTCCTGAATGTACCTGAACCCGCTCCAGTATTGGTCAAGTCTTCTCTTGAAAGAGCTCACACTCGGTGCCGTCACAACACTCTCTGGTAGATTGTTCCAAGAGTTTACAACCCTCACTCCGAAAAAGTTTGCCCTCACGGTTTTCTGGACTTGCGGCTTCTTCAATCTTGAGCTGTGACCCCTTGTGGGGCGAGCGTCCGCCAGCTCCAGGTAAGGACACTCAACTGAGTAGTGCCCCCTGAGATGCTTATAAACCTCAACTAGGTCCCCCCTTGCCCGTCTGTAGTATAAGCTAGGCAAGTTCAGGCGCTCCAATCTCTCAGGATAGCTGAGGTGCCGAAGTGCAGGCACCAGTTTGGTGGCCCTCCTTTGAACATTTTCAACCAACTGACAGTCCCTAGCATATCTCGGGGACCAGATGGGGTGACAGTACTCCGTCTAGATATCTGAACGACCTTCTTATAAGACCCAATAATTTATTTGCCTGATTTACCTTCTTCTCACAATGGCCCGAGAACTTCAGCTCATTGTCAACATACACACCTAGGTCCTTCTCACACACAGTCTCAACTAGTACATTTTCTTCATCCCGTTGGGACATATGGTACGCCTCCTTACCGTTGGTACGCCCCAGGTGCATCCTCTTACACTTCGTGACATTGAATCTCAGCAGCCATTCCTTCGACCATTCCTGGAGCCCACAGAGGTCCTTCTGCAGCTCTTCACAGTCCGCTTGGTTCTTAATTTCCCGAAATAACTTGGCGTCATCGGCAAACATTTGTATGGAGGAGTGTACAACGTCAGGCATATCATTTATGAAACAAACAAACAACAGCGGGCCCAATACACTACCCTGCGGTACCCCACTTGTTACAGGTACAGATGACGATTTCGTGCCATTAATCACCACACATTGCTTGCGGTCATGTAGAAAGTCTTCTATCCACGCTAGGACATTTCCCCGAATTCCGTACCCTTCCAGTTTGATTTTCAGCCTTTCGTGGGGTACACTGTCGAAAGCCTTGGCAAAATCTAGGTAAATATTGTCGATATTACCACCCCGTTCTAGAATATGGGTCCAAATATCCAATACCTTGAGCAATTGTGTCAAGCAAGAGCGCCCCGGCATAAAACCGTGTTGGCAATCTTTTACAAGGTTGTTTCGTAGTAGATGTTCCATCGCTGCATCTCTGATAATACTCTCAAGTACTTTACATATTATGCTGGTCAGGCTCACCGGTCTATAGTTGTTCGTGGAGTGACTATCGCCCTTCTTGAAGATAGGACTCACATAAGCCAATTTCCATTCACTGGGGACCATTTGTTCATCCAGGCATTTACAAAACAGAATCTTCAGGGGCTCTGCAAGCTCGTTGCACAGCCCCCTTAGCACTCTAGGATGCACCATGTCTGAGATATCACAGTAGGGGAAGAACTAGGTAACAGTCCCAAACTTTCGGTTGGCGGATTATCAGGGGTTAAGAAGGTACCTAGGTGAGGTCACCTGGGAACAGTCACGTCCAGT